TGATCGGCATGTTTAATTTGTATTCCTACTACTTGGGAGCTAAATACAACCCTGCTTTTACAACGTAAGTCCAAAAAAGTTACAATGACAATTATTATATTTAAGATTTACTTGTTAAAGGGATAGGTCACAAACAAACAAACAAATAAATAAATAAAAATGTATAAATAAATGAATAAATCTATAATTTATTCCCCATCGTTTTGTTACAGATTAGCAGCTTTTACAAATTTCTCCTGTGAAACATAAAAGTAGATGTTTTGCAGAATGTTCAGGCTGCTCTTTTGTGACCATGGCTGTCAAGCTCAACAAAAGACAAACACATGATAAAAGTACTAAGTCTATTTGTCTATTTGATTCATAAACCATTCAAAGGTTTGGGGTCAGTTCTTTATTTTCCCCAAGAAATGAATTATTTTATTCAACAAGGACACATTAAATTTCACAAATGTGACGGTAAACATATTTATGTTACAAACGATTTCTATTTCAGATAAATATTGTGTATGAACTTTCTATTCATCAAAGAATCTTGCAAAAGAATGTATAGCAGTTTCCACAAAAAATATCCGGCAGCACAACTGTTTTCAACACTGATAATAATAAGAAATGTTACAGCAAATCAGCATATTAGAATGATTTCTGAAGGATCATGTGTCACTGAAGACTGAAATAATGGCTGCTGAAAATACAGCTTTGCATCACAGGCATAAATTACATTTTAAAATATATTCCAATAGAAAAAGTTATTTTAAATTGTAATAATACTTCAAAATAATACTGTTTTTACTGTATTTTTCATCAAATAAACGCAGCCATGGTGAACATAACAGTGACCAAAAACAGTACAAAAAATCTTACAGGCTCCAAACGTTTGAATGGTAGTGTATAATAAATGTGTGTGAGGAATAATGAGATTTAAGCCAAAAATAATCTCAAATTAATGTCTTACATTTTGGTGTTTGAAAAGAGCAGCTCAGACAGTAGTTTTTGTGTTCCACCAATGAAAGTAAGTTTTGCATTTCACATTTAACATATACGTATCTATCTGTTGCAGGGTAGAGGAAAGCTTTAAAACGCTGTTCTGGTCCATCTTTGGTTTATCTGAGGTGATCTCTGTGGTCTTGAAGTATGATCATAAGCTCATTGAGAACATTGGTTATGTGATCTATGGGGTCTATAATGTCACAATGGTGGTGGTCCTGCTCAACATGCTCATAGCCATGATTAACCACTCATACCAGGAAATTGAGGTGAGACTAATGTACTTTTGCAAAAAAAATCATAATCAAAAGGATCATTTGTCATAAACATGGTTATATTTGTGTGTGTGAGAACAGGAGGACGCTGATGTAGAATGGAAGTTTGCTCGCGCAAAGCTGCGGCTCTCCTGTTTTGATGAAGGCAGTACTCTTCCACCCCCCTTTAATCTAATACCCAGCCCCAAATCCTTCTATTACATGGTTCAGCGCACCAAAGTATGCCTAGTGAGTTTATGCAAGGCCAGGGTTTGTAGCAACAGCAGCCAGCAGGATGTGGGAATGGCCGATTCACGCTCTAAGGTGAGAGGTCAGATCAAATTGTTCAAATGTAGAAATCGCAGTTTGTAATTTTGATATCTTTTCAGCTTCATCGGTTTCGACCGTACCACGCACAAGAGGGATTCACGGTTAGAATTTCCATCAAACACCCCACAAGATATCAGGTTTACTGATTAATTGTTTATCCAAACTTGTTAATGTACAGGAATCATCAGGCAAAACCTCATTCTAAGCCTTCTTTCTCTCATAGAAACTAATGAAGCGTCTCATCAAGCGGTATGTCCTGAAAGCCCAAATTGACAGTGAAAGTGATGAGATCAATGAAGGTAAGACTCATTTATTCATCTGTTAGTGTCTCTTGTGTGATTTACTTCGGCCCTAACCACATTTTTTTGATAGATGTTGATCTAGTACACTCTTAAAAATAAAGGTGCTTCACGATGCCATAGAAGAACCTTTTTGTCTAAATGGTTCCATAAAGAACCTTTAACATATTAAGAACCTTTCTGTTTCACAAAAGGTTCTTTGTGGCGAAAGAAGGTTCTTCAGATTATAAAAAGGTAAGAAAGAGACGGTTCTTTAAAGAACCTTTGACTGAATGGTTCTTTGTGGAACCAAAAATGGTTCTTCTATGACATCGCTGTGAAGAACCTTTTGAAGCACCTTTATTTTTAAGAGTGTATATGTCAAGCGATAAACTGTTCAAGTGTTAAAAATGGCTGTAACTGTGATTTTGGAGCCAAGTTTTACTTGAAACCAGTTAAACCCTTGTTTTCATGTGGCTTTTTCTTCTTTCTTCTCAGGTGAGTTGAAAGAAGTCAAGCAGGACATTTCCAGCCTCCGCTACGAGCTCCTGGAGGAAAAGCACAGGCCACTGAAGAACTTGCTGAACTGATTCAGGAGCTTGGAGACAAACTCAGCAAAGGAACCAAGAGACCATGAAAAATGAACTCTTGTGATTGTAGTTGAAAGTGTCCCAGGTCAAGTCTAGAGCTGCTGAAATATTTAGTTTAGACACAAACTTTAAAGTGTCTTTATACTCTTAATCTGTTTTAGACATTGGTTTGTGAGGAATGATATGTGGTTGCCTTTGAAGTGGAAAAAAATAAGTGCCGGTACTCAACCCCCCATAATTATTTATTTATTTTATATTAAATAAGTACTTTTTAATTTTCATAATTCACAATGTAGGCTATGTGTAGTGCCACAATCAATCAATAATTAAACAAACGTTTTCCAAATAAGCACAAGTCAAGCTGCGATACCAAACAGGACCACAGGGAGACGCCAAAGACCACTAAACCTCCTGCCTTGACCTGGCTGGATACATTCAGAATCGCTAAACTTCTTACCACCGCATAACACCTCAGCATAACACCTCAGCCAGCCAGCGTCCAAATAAGCAATGAAAAGAATAATGTACTGACATCTGGACGCGAGTAATATAGTCAACCAAAATGTGCATGAGGAACTCCAGGACCTGGACAGAGATGCAATACCATCTCTCTCTCTCTCTCTCTCTTAAATCATTTATGATGAAGAAATATGTTATTATATTTTGCCTAAAGAAAATGAAGCCTTTAAAAAAAAATAAATAAATAAATAAATGTTTTACATTGTGACATGATTTCCATGACATTTAAACAAATTCCCCTTCCAAGTCTATAATGCAATAAAATAAAATATAATAGAAAATAATAAAATCATATATAAAATAATTTTAATTCCTCCAAAAAAAAAAATCAATGCAAAATGATCCTAATGGAAGGCTTGGTTTTCTTTATGTAAAATTGAAGTGAATGAAAACAGCTATGTGTGTTACTGAATATTATGGCAATGTATTGTAAATAAAATTATATTAAAAGTGCCTGCTTGAACCTAAGTTATTAATAGTATTTTAGCTATTTTTCAATATTATTAGTATTTTTATAAACAAACATGTAAACTATTTCTTGCAGTTTTGAAACAAACACAAAAACCGTCAAGTGTCTGGGTCATATTTTAGCTAAAAGGAAAAGAAAGAAATTAAAGGTTATATTTTGCCTAAAAAAATTAAGAATTTTATTGTTATGCCATTTTTTTTAATGAAAAATAAGCTCATTTGAAAACTGAAATAGCCAAAAAACAAATAAATTACAGTAATAAAAGAGTGAAAATATTCTTTACTGTAAGCGAAGAAATTCAGAATTTGATTTTATTTCACTACCCCATATAATTATATATTTTGTGTTGTTTATTTTTTATTATTTGTTTCATTACTTATTGTTACTATATTCTTTTGTTATTTTTTTTATTTTGTATCTATTTATGTGTGTTGTCACCAGTGTTGGGAAGGTTACTTTGGAAATGTAATAGGTTACAGATTACAAGTTACCCTATTTAAAATGTAATAGTAGTGTAACTTTTTCAATTAC